TTTAAAAAAGGATTTTCTTATATATCAAATAAATATTTTTTCATGGCAAATCAATGTTATTAGTTTCAAACAAATGATGTTAATGGCACTATTGAAATAGATATTTATTTGAAATCAATAGCTTTTTCTCCAGTGTTTTAACGATTGATGCATTTATATGTCTATAATATAAATCTTCAGAAATTTAACTTCTTAAAAAAAAGGATATTTTTTTTCTCCTCGATCGAAAAAAGTAATTAAACTTTTCGTAAACATGTTGTAGTATGATATGAAGATTTTATTTCGTGGAAAATCTCGTTAGATTTTTTTAACGAGCACATTTAATTGGCGCATTCAAATGTATGATATTTTCGAAGATTTATATATTAAAAAAAATATTTTTTGTAATCAAAGAGTAATACACTTATTAGTAAAGAAAAAAAATCTTTTGTCTCAACCTCGCATTTAAACTCAGCTCTTCATCCGGAAGCGAGAAATGGAATCGGACCGACGTCTTAGGAACGAACTATCGGTATCAACGCGACAATAGTGGAACAATGGGGCGAGAGAAAAGGGGGTTGAGTAATCATTCGACATCAGTTAGAAACGATTCCGCCATGGCAGATTTCGCTCGTAGCGGCATAGTTAGTTGCGGGGCAAGCCAGACAAATGCGCAGTCGCCCCTTTAAAGGGAGACGTGGAAATGCGACGTGCGAGTACTGTAAGTAAGAATAAGTGAAGCCAACCAAGTCGGGCGCTGGCCGCGTTCTCTCGAATCCTTCCAAACAATACGATGGCGAGGAACGACGTTGTGCGTTGGCGTATGTAAAATTTGCTGCACACAACGCGTCACAGTCAGGTTGAACTAGGTCGTTCTCTGCACTTTTCTAAGTGGCTGTCATTTTTTTTTCTTTTTTTTTTTTTTTTTAGTAGATGCAAAGACTTACGAGATTGCAAATCGAGTGCGATTCGAGACAAAAAACGGAGAGGCAATAGAGTTGATGGATTCGTACGAAAATGCAAGAATAATTTTCCGAGTGTTACAAATGCGAACGTAGATGTAATTTAAATAAAACTTGAATAATTTTACTACAACGTACATTTATATACATATACATATATATATATATATATATATATATAAAATAGTATTCTCTCCTGCGTTCCCGGTAAACTTCGCATAACATTTCTCTTTATTTTGAGTCAAAGGCGTCGAATATGTTCTATGGAAATTTGTAGCTGCTACTCGAAATCAGGTGAAGCAAGCATCTGTATGATTCCGGAGAAAGGATTTTATTGAACTCCGTTCTACCAATATTTATTGGTTCTCTACGAAAGGATCACGTCGACCCCTTTGAGGACCAGCGTATACATAGTCACGCATAAATATACGAATGAGATGCGAGCACATAAATATATCGAAATCATCTGACTTCCTGCCCATCTTAAAGGGCTGAGCAGGTCCGGTTTACTGAGCTGTTTAATTCGACGACGAAAAGAGGAACTTTGAAATATCTTTTACAAGCAGACTGAAAAGGGTAAGTCCCTCTCACATAAAATATATGTTTAAGGAAAATGTAAATTGCGAAAATTATAATCTCTGTAGAAACGAAAATCTTTTGTGCGCGAGATGAAATATTTTACATAATGCATATGTAAAATAATTAACTATAAATTTACATACCTATATACATATATATATATAGTATATAAATCTTAAAAAAAATTTTATAAATAGATATACATTCACTATATATAAAATATATAGGTAATATAAAAATTTATTAATTATTATAAATATTTGATTAAATATTTTAAATATTTTAAAATAAAATTTAAACATTTTCTATATGCATTATATTATATAATAATATAAAATCGATAATTACTGCAGTAATAAACGAATAATTAATTTTGCAAGTAATAAATAATAAATTAATTATTATATAAATTGCTTACTCTACGATTGCTCCGTTATCGCCTAATGCTTTCCCGGGTTTGCTCTTTCTCTCTTGTTCATCCCTTCTTCATAACATTTATTTTCAAAAACATGTTTAATTACGATTGCGCGCTCGTACCATCAACACAATACGGCGATAGCTCTGCACTTTGTATGACACTTTCAACATTAATCTTTACGCGACGCATACTTAATTATAATAACAGCGAACACGTAAAAACCACGATCGCCGAAACTAGGATATTGAATACATCAATTCTGCGAAAAATTAACAATATTAACAAATAATATATTATAATATTACTTGAGACATTCAATGATTTGTTTTATTACTCCGTGTTCTCGATATAAAAGAAATATCAGTCAAATATAATATTTAAATTGATAAAAACTTAAAAGCTCAATGCAAGATATTTTAATCCAAGCATGCATTAAAGAAATCATTAGCCTAATAATAATTTAAGTTCCCATCTTTTACCTCGTTTCAATTTCTATCAAAAATATACAAATCGTGAAGTACTGTCTTTAATAAAATCGTTGCCTCACTTACAAGTCGTTAACTGTAATATAATCATATAATCATTAACTATAATAAATTACTAATAATATCATGTTTAGTTTTGATATACTTTTCACGAATGAGGAATAATATGATCAGCCCACACGAATACAATAATAAGGTCACGATACAACAAAATTCAACGCTCGTACTTGCTACAGGAATTTCGTGACGTATACATGTTTATATACATATCTTTATACGAGATCGTCGTCATTCGTGTGACAAAGCTCGAGCGAACAGGTAGCGAAGCAAATAACTCCGTGCATTATTTCTCGAAACGCGGTTGAGGGTAAGAAGTGCCATAAGACATCAAACGATTAAAGCGATTATATTATTCTCTATGATTATTCGTCTGCGTAAGAGACTAATTAAGTACCAGTTAATTATAAAAGCATCTTAAATTCTTGCTCCAAGAACGCTCCCAGTCTTATTGCTGATAAATTGATTATGATTAAATACTCGGTTAAATTATTTTATATAAAATGAATTCTAAAACTATTCGCAATATAAATCACTTTATATACATATATGTATATGTATGTGCATATATACTATGCATGCGTGCGTGCGCACATTTGAAGGGCTTATTTCACGCTTGTTGTGGTCAATCCTTTTTGAAAAATGGGTCGCCTATCGATTGTGCAACGATAACAAAAACAAAGCTACAAAATCGGCTTCTCGATAACACGCGGCGAAACGCATCCCTATTAAACTTCACGAGAACGTCTAGAAACTAGAGGCCGGCAGTCTTACTATATAGAGAAGTAAAAGAACGCGAAAAGAAGCTGGACGAGGAACGGATATTCCGAGGGTCGTTTGCGAGGAAATGACGTTATTAGCAGGATAAAACATTCCCCTTCAAAGTTTATTTGTATAAAGTTATAATTGCACTCAGAGGCATAGTTTGTGTGTCGACGTTACCGTAACGAGCGTAGCTCGTATAGGAACGTAGGGAATAATCGGAGGATCTCGTGCCAGAGAGGATCAATTTCCGTCGGGAAAGCCGAGCGATTTTTTTGCCATGCATGTCATGCAAGCAACACGCGTCGCGCATCGTGTGCAACACCCTTTGTTTACGCGCGTTACCGCACCGCGTTGCGTATCGCTCGGTGGACAATCTTTCGCGTTTATCTGGCGCAAAACAATGCCCGTTTCGAGGGAAGAATTAATTGGAACGTTTGAAAACATCACCACGGAACAAGCTGGTGTCACAAAGTCGCACAGCTCGCAACCGAGTAATAAATATTATATATCCGCGCTCTCTCTCTCTGTCTCTCTTCTTACTAACTCTCATGGATATTGCATCAATTTGATGAAAAAAAAGGAATGAAAAAAAAAAAGCGGAAAAAATCATCCCCGATGTGTAACCACTTCCGAAACGGGAAAGGGACGAGTTTTCTGGTCGCGAGAGAATCAAACAGCTACCGATATGAAAGGGAATAAAAAACGCGGGAATCTGCGGTCGACGGGCTACAGGTCAAGATACAAGGCAATATCGATTGAATATTAGGATCTGCGGGATAGGGAGGAGGACCATGCGAAACCGGTGCGCACACATTAGCCTCTTTGACTTGCTAAATAGGTTAATTTGAATGTTTAAATTCCGGCTCCGTGCAACTCAATTTGCGAGAGGACTCAGCGTCTAGTTAATTCCTTTCCTTCGCCCTCCCGAGAACCAACCCGCGGTTTCTCCCCCTTTTCTCTCGCATCAGCCACCGAAGCTGGACTGTTAACTTCCTGCGCATTTCGAGCGTCAAACATACGGAAACGTCCGGCATTTCCTCTCTTTCTCTCCTTCAAGCTCTCACGTGGCTCCCGATGTCCCTTAATTGAAGGTATTATTTGCGCTCCGATACGCCTGATCTTTTACGCATCGCGACTTCTCGATTGCCAGCCCTCGATTGCCCGATAAAAAAAAGAGAATCAAAGTGCAAATGGAAATTCGAGCGTTCATTGCTTAACATAATTCGCGGCAAAATTGAGGAAATATGACGGAAATCGCGGTGAAAATAATGAAACCGCAGTACAGCGTAAATTCATAACGATTGAATCAATATTTTATCGGATTTGCGACTTAATTCTTACATAACTTCCTGATAATATAAAATCAAATATACTGATTAGCTCAATAATTTATTTGAAAGACTTCAGTCAGTAATATATACATGCATGTACTCTGAAAAATATTTCAAACGATAAAATGTTTTACGTAATAAATACAATTTTTTGTTCTTACATTGTTTAATTTTATTTTATTCGAAATATAGTTACCAAATAAAGTGACCAAAACTTGGGACACAACTCTGCGATGATATTATGTAATGCAGAAAATATTTGAAAAATCAGAAAAATGCTGTATACATATATTGACATATACCATACATACAAATATGTATATCAAAATTACACAACATACAAAAATTATAAATAAAAATGTATTCTAATTACAGATATAAAAGTAGAGATATTCTATCGTAAGATATTATTTTTGAAAATATATTATCCGGGAGAGCGCGAACGCAGTCCCGACTAACAAAAATTATACGTCCGAGATATCCACATTAGGGACATTCGCAAAGGTCAGCCCTAACCGTAGTGCAATGGTAAAGGCCTCACTCTGGAGGAACCACCTTGTTGATCATGGTAACCTCTACGCCAGGTAAGTATGCTTTTCTCCCGCAGTTCACCATATTTATGCCTATCCAGCTGAATCTTAACTGCGGGAAACACAATATATTTACAGCGCACTATAGCGGCGATTTTCGAAACTATATTTAGGGGCTTCAAGTTGTCTATATGGATGGATGCTCCCTTTCTTTGACGCCGCGCTACGAAACTTTCGAATCATTCGATTGATCAATCAGAACGAAAGGAACAAAAGTTCTTTTATTTCGACTGGTCAACGGAATGCTTTGAAATTTTCGTAACATCAAACACAAAGAGCATCCTGTATCTGAAAAGTCACAAAATAAAGCATTGAGCTATCAGCTAATAAAATTATTTAAATATATATATGTATATATTTTACATCAATTTTTTACATATAATGTAAATTTGCAAAAATGTTGCTGCTCAAGTTTCTGTATAATAATTATATATGTATATCAAGTCTTTCAGCCATATGATCTCCGAAAAAACTAGTAATCCATCTCAGCACAATCCATCTTTCAATTTATAATAATCTGTACAAAAATTATAATTACGTTAATTACATAATTAATAATTTCTATTTTTTAATAACTTATATTTAATTTAACAAATATTATTTTATACTATAGCTATATTACATTTTACATTACAATTTGATATGATTAAAATTAGAAATTATTAACGTAGATATTTGAGAATCGCCAGACAGAATGTAAAAAAAAAGGTAAGACTCTTCTCTCGACCGTACTGGCAAATATTATTTATTAAATCACAACGTTTCGACCCTTCTGATAAGGACTCAAAGAAGGGTCAAAACGTTGTGATTTAATAAATAATATTTGCCAGTACGGTCGAGAGAAGAGTCTTACCTTTTTTTATTAAAAATTATTATTTATGACACTATAATTATAAATTGTCTTACAAATAAATCGATTAAATTTAAAATATGAAATACTATCTATATATGAGATAAAAGGAAACTATAAATATCAATTTTTCAAACACTTACTTGGTCTGTAAGCAATTACAACATACTTCTTCACGTCATTCTTAGTAACTGCTACCATTCGATATCTCGTGCAATGATTGTAACATAACATGTGACAGACACTTGGAAAAGTGCGATCGTTAAAATCGCGATTCCTGGCGCAAATTGTCCGATTACCATCATCATCGCTGTCCTCCTCGTACATGACCTGCCAGGCTTGAGTAGTCGTCTCCTCTCCCAAACCGATTACTTTTTCCTCGTTATTACAGTGCTCGCAATTACACGCGGATACATTCTCATCGGACGTCGCGAAGCACAATCCGAAAATGGGCACTGCACATACAGTAATTATTACAGAATCACGAATTGCCTTTTACATCCTAAAGGTTACATTACTGTTATTTAACTTCTCTTGCACGCGCAATAATTACATCAGAGTAGGAACAACTGTGCGAAATTGCAAAATTGACAATAATGGAAAAATGATAAAAATTCAGAGTTTCGAAGTAAACTTTTTACCTAACGCCATGATGATGTATAGCGATCGCATATTTTGAGAAATGAGATGAAGCGTAAATATGTCTGTCGAGTTGCAAAGTGCAATCGAAACTGAAGCTTGTTAAAGGCCATACGATGAAACTATTTGGCATACAGTGCTGTAGCTGTATAGAAAACGTATCGTCTCTTACAAAATTATATATAATATAATTAATATAAAATTATACACACATTTTCATGGAAAAGTGCATTTATATTTCCATCGTGGAAACTCGACGTATAATTATGCAGTCGCGACATAATTAATAGCATGTTAAGTACAAACTCTCTATCTCTTGACGAACGCAAGTGCTTGTAGCCTTAACGATTAACTGGGGAATCATAACTGACGAGTACATAACTGCCGATGTCGGGAACATCGTCACACTGACCTCTGATCTCCTCGGAAAGTAATCTAATACGCATACACATTAACATCATTATTACGATATGATGTCATAAAAAAAAAATAATTATTATCGCCTGCTTCCGCGTATTTTCTGGCACAACAAATATAACGTATTTGAATATATAATTAATTAAAAAATGCCATTATGTATATGTGTACATTATTTTAATTATATGTACAGTATGTTGTAAAATTATAAAAGTTTTTTATATATAGAGAGAAAAAGTTACGTGCATATTACTAACATCTAAGGAATATATGTACGTGTATTCAAAGCGGATTTGTGCATAATGAAACGTTTTACTGTTATTCGCGAGAGTTTTTCGCAAATTACTCGAAACGTATTTTTTTTTTTTTTTTTTATTTTTTTTTTATACAAACGATCTCTTTCAAAGATGCCGGCTGTCGTCAGTACTTCCACAGCACTCTCGCGTTATCGCTTTTATGTTAATTACCCGCGGGAGGTAATGCTCAGGGTAGTACTCGAGCAAGTCGAATGAGACAGGTGGTTCTAAGCTCTTCTCTTTAGCACATTGAGAAAAAACGAATAATAAATATATAATGCCTTTTACTCTACATATTTCCGCGAGTTAATGACTAAATCGTTCTACTATATTTAAGAGTTATAATTAAATTTCTTTCGCAAAGCTATAACAGAAAGATATCTAAATATAAAGAAAGGTACATTTATCTAAAAAGATGAATAGCGTGCAACATTTTTCTTATAATCTTCACAGAACCGGTTAACAATACTTTTTCCGTCCGAATTGAAATTTTTGGAATAGATATAATTCAAATAGTTAATAAAGTAGTTGTAAGCTCTCCGCGATATAGAGAGGCGAACGCATTTACAATACCAAAATCTATACGTACGTAATCTTTTAAGTACAAGCGTATATATACCGTTTGGATCCGCTCGCTGACACCTTAAATCTTGAAAGTTTATTGCCATGACAATAACCGCCAGCCAGCACAGCTAACAATTATATAATGTCTTGACTTATGGACTAATTTGCATTTTAATCCGACCACCCATTGTTACTCGCCATTGTCGGTAGAATGCGCACATAGTGTGCTTTAAGATGGCAAAGTTCGAGAGATTGAAACGAGGTCACCGTCAATTTGTAGAACAATGAACGCGAGAAAACGAGATAAATGTTGCTGGTGCGCAGTTATATATATAAACGTTTACTCAAAAATTAATTGCGAAGTAGTATAGTAATTAATTAGCAAGAAGTGCATCATCCTCTCTATCTCTGCCTCTTCTCTTTCCGTAGAAACCAATATATTAAATGAACATAGTCAACACTCGACAATTATTTAGTATTTGGATCGTATTTGAGCTTCCTCCGGAATAACATGGACTGAAACGAATGGAAAGCCAAGTGTCAATGCTCGCTACAAATATATTTCTAGAAAATATCCCGATTTGCCAATCGCATTTTTTTTCCGCGACAATCTTTTCTCTCTCTTCTCTCGCAGAGCTCTCGGCGTTCTGATCAGATCCATTTGCCAGACTGCCGGCTTATCCGCTAATTGGTAATCATTCACACTGATACTTCAACTTTAATCTGACATACAATACAGTACAACACAGTGGATATTTTCCCTTGCAAAATCAAACTCATTAATTAACTACGCTATCATCAGTCCATCATTTTATCGGAGTGAAAAGATTTATTCGACATAATAACTGTTGGTCTAATGTAATTTAAACCAGCAAAGATATTTAAGTATTAAATATTAAATTCTATTGTTTCGTGTAAAAAAATACGTACTTTGTCGATCGCGATGTCATCAGAAATGTACAATTGTGATTGTGCGATCATCAGTTTGGAGGCTCCTTTAGATATTCGTAAATTCAGAATGTTAAAGTGACACGTAGGGAAAGGAAAGGGGATGAAAAGGGTCGACTAAGAGTACAGCACCGCGGAAAATTGTCAATCAGTGCGACCCATCCGGACTTGATTACAGCCCTGCTACAATCGCGCTCATACATATAGCCAGTTCCGAGGCTCAAAATCGCCGATTTTTTTCTACTGTAATTACGAGAATCTATGTTATTCGCGAGTTATAAATACCCGTCGTTTTGTCTCTCCGTGCGCCATACGAAATCTTTTATTGTTTTATTCGCGCGCTGTTCCTTTAATTGCGTTATCGTGTACAATCTTCTATCAGATGAAAAAAAAGTGGAACGCAGCGCAAATTCAGACATTCAGGATATTTCAATCTCGATGTACATGACATCCCGTAACTGGTGCTACAACCAGGCAGAATGATGATTTTACATTAAAAAAAACACGTCAAAAATGTGAAATAAAATTTTTTATACGAGGGGGTTTGTTCTCGAGAAAATTTATTTCTAAAAAACATCGGAAAAATAATAACGCGTGCACATTTTTTCTCTCTCTCTCTCTCTCTCTTCTTTATTAATATTTTTTATTTTTTAATTCTAACTTATTATAAATTGAATATTAAATGAAATTGCATTTCCATTGTGCGAGACAGTATATTGCGCGCGTGGATTTGTCAAAAGTGATGCTCTAGCTGTTATTTTTGTCATCCAATCCGCGCCGCCAGCTAGATTCTCCCTTCATTTTGTTGTATTCACGTTTTCATCTGCCTCGTGCTTGTCCAGCACAGCCCAAAGCAGTTGAACCGAGTCGAGGTTCAATCAGAACCAATATGTCGCGCTCTCATGCGAATACACACCGCGATTTCTGCGAAAAGGGCGCGTTTGTACGCGTTTAAACGTGCATAAAGTATATGAAATTTCCCTACGAAACGTGTCATTTTAAAGGACGAATTGCATGCAGCTCTCTCGTAGGATTTCTACATATTTTTCGTACTGCGGAAAGTGCACAATGAAGATATTACAACAAACTTTTATAATTTGAAATTTAGATTTTATGCCTACAATAAACGGCTGCAAATATCTTGCGTATACGTACGCAATAACAAGGACAGGGAATATAGTGATAAAAGATGACGTTTCCCTGTTGCGATGTAATATTAGTTTTGTACTAGTTTCCTCGGCTTTGTTGCGCGTGACATTTTCACGATGCCACACGGTGAAATAATATGGTTAAACTATATTATGGGTGTAACACACACGAATACACACGCGGCTGGCCATACATCATACCTCGATGAAGATAAGAGCCATAACTTTTCACGGTGTTGCACACTAAAGTGTTACACGTCCGAACAAATTTCCGTTGAATTGGAGATTAGAAATCGATTGCGATAAATTTTATTTCTGACAAAATACGTATCGAATGATCCGGGAAAAATAAACGACCGATGCAGTTTAACGTGCTTGTGTTATCACAAAGAGCGGGAGAGATCAGGGAGTTATTATTATTATTAATCGCAAAAACTTTAAAACGGGTTGTGCAAACACTCCGTGCGTGATCGATTAGTTACATGGATGGGGTGTACGTGTAACGAAAATGCCTACGCAATTTTATCATTCTCTGCTGCACAACAGCCGAGTTAATAATAGCCAACCACTCGATATAATACTCTCACGTGTACAATCATATCTATATATGTCTACTATTTCGGTTTGCGATTATGCTACAGTAAGACTTTATGGCAGATGAATGAAAGTCGGTTATATCTATGCGCATATGTACGCATATATGTATATGCATGTGTATATATTTGTAGGAGTCCCATCCACCCTCCATTCACACCGATTGGCGCCATATGTAATCAGAATCAGTGCATACATATGTATGTTATATCGTTATGTACGCAACGAAAAGTTGATCAACAAATCAAGGGCAGATGTATATAAAGTGATAAATTGATGTATTTTTGCTAATTTAATTATTTTAATTCTAAGTAATAAATAAACGCTCCATTTATAATACACAAATACGTGTATATATGTAACAAGATAAGATACGATTATATTTTAAATATCATCTAAAAATTGAATTTATATAATTCTAGAAGTTAATTATAACTTATTGTTCTCAAATTCAAATTGATCAATTGATTCATCACAGTGAACACGATTTCTATCTCTGCATAGAAAATCTGTTGGGATAATGCTAGGTTGAAAAAATTCCAGCTCAATTGAACTTTGAAATGTAGGATTCTAACAATTGTAACGAGGGTAGTGTACCGGATCCTTCAAAGTTAAATTAAGCAAAGGCTAAATGGAGTATTCTTTCTCCAGTGGGAGCCTTATAAAAACGAGAGTAAAGTAATAATAGCACACAAAGGTCGCTATTCATCGCTATTCTATAACAATAATAGCATCTGCCCAAGCTGGTCATAGGTCTCTCGTGTGTGGAACGCATTGTGGCTAAGACCGCGACATACGTTCGTGATTTCAACCAGTAAAAATTCACACGAGCGAAATAATTTGACGTACGCGCCGCACCCTCGATTTCCATTCATAAATCGCCTTAGCATATTTCGGATGCACTAAGTGTGAGAAAAGGAAAGATTGGTTTATTTATATAGCTCTATACCTATACTACAGTATGTATAATATTTATAATCCGCGTGTCCTATAAAAATATTTTTACGTGTGAGAGAAATAAAAATAAATTAGTTGGTTTTTATCTCTAAATAAATTAACATCATTTATTATTAACCCAATGTGACAGACGTTGCTTAATATTGATGACAGTATTTTTACATATGCGGCAGAGAAATATCGA